TAACTTTAATATGTCCTGTAAAGATTTTTTACTTTTAAATCAATGACGACTTTAAAAGATAAATGAATAATTTTAATGCTTTTAAATAATTTGTTTATTTAAAAAAAATAAATTGTGCAATTTTAGGTTATATTAAACCTAACTTTTTGTCATTTATTTGGAAGTTTGCTTCACAACTTCTCTTTTCACCCAAGATAACTTCTTTGATCTTAAATTCTAGTCGATATCTTTAATATCTATTTCCCCCTTACTGTATTCTCTTCAAGATCCTGATATTCATTTTAGAGTTTTTTGTCTTGCAAAATTTTCCAATGAATGTCTTCCATCTTGTACTGCTATGTAGAAAAAAATGCTAGTTATGGAACTCTTAAAAATTAGTATACAAAATAGCAAAAGAGTATTAAATTTCTAATAATAGTAATTTTTGACATCTATAAAATTTTATTATTATTTAATTAATTAATTAAATGAAATATCTTATGTAATAATATGTAAAAATCATGAATGTATGATGGAAATTATTGAGCATGCAAGATGCATTATATACATATTTATTTGAAGTGAGCCTCAAGGAAGAAGCTGAACACTGCTAATCTACAACTGGAAAAGTATAGGAAAGACTAAAGTTTTCTTAATAGTATTGAAGTTAAAACAGGAACTTGATTTTACAATATTGATGATATCTTATTAATTATTTTTAATTAATAAATAAATATTAATTCAATTATAATTATTAAATTTAATAAGAGATAGTGTCTAGCACCTGCCTGTAGTACCAAATTACTTATAAGTTCATTATTAATAGTAGCAGTAATATAGTCTGATCTAATCTGGCAATTATTTGAGTTTTTTTCTTTTTACATGGCTAGGATCAGGAGTTGGCTACTCTAGTTGCACATGATGTATACATCACACGTGTTTAATAGTAAATTAGTAAAACAATTTAATTATTTACAAAATGGAAGTAACTGAATGTGAAGTTAAACATGTTTTAGTGTTTTTGGTGATGGATTGGTCTTTAGGGAATGACATCATAGATTTGTTTGCTAAAATGAACTCTTATGGATATTTGAAAGAAATTTGTGGGCTTTCTTATACTTTTCTATAAAATACAAAGGAATGTCTTTATAGGAAAGTGTATAAATAAAAAGAAAGATGAATTTTCTGAAAAAGTCTACAGAAAAGAAAACAAAATTTTCTGAAAAAGTCTACAGAAAAGAAAACAAAATTTGACAACACTGTAAATCAAGCCTTACACAGATAGCCGCAAATGAACATACTCATGCAAATTTACAAACGTAGAAACAAAATTTCTTATTTATTTATAAGATTGTTATATGTTAATTTTAACTATTATTCAAAAATAAATTTAAACTTATAATAATAAAAAAAATGAGATTATCACTATAAACTTGCTTTATTTTCTATGTTATTTGGCTGCCTAAAATTGCTACATGTTCTATCTTAACTTGAAATTAAGATAGAACATGCTGTTTTTATAATAAAATTCTTAATGTTATTTAAACATTTAAAAGTTGTTTAAACATATAAAATAAACTATCTCTTAAAATTTGAAAATAGTTTTATTAATAGTAATATAAGTACCACTACTATTTTTTTTTTTCCAGAAAAAAATTTATGACAAGTTTCAATGGATGATGAAAAAGAACAAATGTACATTGAGTTAAAACAAAATATTTTAAAAAACATTGGAAATATTAGTGCTGTTAAATTGAAAAACAAATTTGAATCACAAGTGGAATCAAAGAGGACATTAGACAATATAAAAACTGTGAAAGATTTGTATAATATTTTAGAAGAACGAGATTTAATCAACGAAGATAATTTGATTGTTTTACAAAAAATACTGACATATCTTTTGGATTATAAAGAAATAAATAGTATCAGCGAGGAGGAAAATCATATTTCATTTTATAAAAAACAGTATCCTACAACTGAAAAATGTAAAAATTGTAGAAAAGATAATATGGAAGAAATAAACGAAGAACATCTTGAATTTGTTCCTCACACACCAACTGCACCGTCATTAAACAATATTTTCAATTCAACTAGTAAGTTTTATTATTACGAATACTTTAATGTTAAAAATATTTTACAAAATTATTTAAACTTAAACATATAGTACATGTGATAGTAAATAAAGCATGCAATGTTTATTTCAGGTGGTCCTGAGGAAGTAAAAGGATATGAGCAGAATACATCTAGTAAGTAGATCATAATGTAATTTATATGTAAAATCAAACCTGAAATATATTAATAATCAAATAATAGCAGTAGATTTTTATTGGACTACAGTAGGGCTAATTATTAAGTTATACATCTGTATAACAAGCAGGAGTTGTGGGTTTGAGTCCTGCTCAAGATTCATCTTTTCTCACAGATTATTCTGAATTAATTAATTTTATTTCTAATTTACATTGACATGACAACTGCCTACCTTTATTCCAAATTACATAATATCTTAATTGATGTAGCCATGCAATTAATTAATGCTCTTTCTATGGAAGATTTTCCCTCGGAAAGAGCTTTATTTAATCTCAAATTATTACCTTTTATTCCAGTATTGACTTTGTAATACAAATGCTTTTATTTAATTACATATCTCTTTAGATTTCCCAACTAGAAATTTTAAACAATTAAATAGTATAACATTAACTGAATTAAAACAATAAGTAAGAAATTATTAAATAAGCTTGAATTAATACTTTATTCATAAAATAAAAATAGAAAAAATAATGAGAAATTTTTGTAATGCAAAAAGTATACATATAGAATGAGACATTTTAAATGTGTATTTACTGAGCTCATTTCCTTTGCAAGCCACTAAGTAAGCAAGCCAATAACATAATTCATTTCATGTGAAACAAACTTTGTCATTAAGAAACAAGTATTTTAGATTATGTAAAACTGCTTTTGAAAATTATTCTTATTATGTCTATAAACAAAGATTATAACATGTAGAAATTTGTCATATATATATGACAAATTTCTTTATATATACAGTATAAAGACCATTACAATTGCCAAAATGACTTAAAAAAATATATTAGAAACATCTTATAAATTCCTCATTAAATAATTTCTTCTTATTCTGTATAATTTTTGTATGTGTTAGGCTCAAAGACCAAAATGCTCATTGAACAAAAAAAACAACCACAACGCATTGTGGTCACTTTAAATCATCCACAATGCAAAATTCGCATTGTGGCACTTGTAAAAACAGCCACAACGCATTATGGCTAACTCAAAACTCAAAATATCATGAAAACCATGATGCGAATTATATGACGACCATAAATTTGCATCGTGGCTTTCGTGATATTTGACCATTGTGTGTTGTGGTGACTAAGAAAAGCCATAACGTTTTGAACGTTAGCTGATGCAACCAGGATAGACGGTTGTAAAGTACTATTTTATTTTTCCGACTTTCCAACGATTATCGACACTACTGTGTGCCGGAAATAGCCGTTCCCTAACGGGTACTTTACGCGGATTCGCGTTAGTGTGTCAGGCCTGGACTTTAAGCGTGCATCGAATTAAATAATGACAAAGTTTGTCAATAACAAAATCAAATATTTAATTAAACTTCTAGTAATAAACTATATACAGTATTTAGTAAAAATCAAACAATAATTTATTCAATGAAATTCAACAAGAATCAAACCGACAAACTCAAATCAATCTATTTCTAACTTAATTCTATTCCCCTTTGGAATTCGACAAAATCAAAGAATTAACTTATAAACAATAATTCTTATAAATTAAAGATCCTAATCGTCACCTCAATATACTAGGAACCTATTTCCTNTGTTAATTTTAACTATTATTCAAAAATAAATTTAAACTTATAATAATAAAAAAAATGAGATTATCACTATAAACTTGCTTTATTTTCTATGTTATTTGGCTGCCTAAAATTGCTACATGTTCTATCTTAACTTGAAATTAAGATAGAACATGCTGTTTTTATAATAAAATTCTTAATGTTATTTAAACATTTAAAAGTTGTTTAAACATATAAAATAAACTATCTCTTAAAATTTGAAAATAGTTTTATTAATAGTAATATAAGTACCACTACTATTTTTTTTTTTCCAGAAAAAAATTTATGACAAGTTTCAATGGATGATGAAAAAGAACAAATGTACATTGAGTTAAAACAAAATATTTTAAAAAACATTGGAAATATTAGTGCTGTTAAATTGAAAAACAAATTTGAATCACAAGTGGAATCAAAGAGGACATTAGACAATATAAAAACTGTGAAAGATTTGTATAATATTTTAGAAGAACGAGATTTAATCAACGAAGATAATTTGATTGTTTTACAAAAAATACTGACATATCTTTTGGATTATAAAGAAATAAATAGTATCAGCGAGGAGGAAAATCATATTTCATTTTATAAAAAACAGTATCCTACAACTGAAAAATGTAAAAATTGTAGAAAAGATAATATGGAAGAAATAAACGAAGAACATCTTGAATTTGTTCCTCACACACCAACTGCACCGTCATTAAACAATATTTTCAATTCAACTAGTAAGTTTTATTATTACGAATACTTTAATGTTAAAAATATTTTACAAAATTATTTAAACTTAAACATATAGTACATGTGATAGTAAATAAAGCATGCAATGTTTATTTCAGGTGGTCCTGAGGAAGTAAAAGGATATGAGCAGAATACATCTAGTAAGTAGATCATAATGTAATTTATATGTAAAATCAAACCTGAAATATATTAATAATCAAATAATAGCAGTAGATTTTTATTGGACTACAGTAGGGCTAATTATTAAGTTATACATCTGTATAACAAGCAGGAGTTGTGGGTTTGAGTCCTGCTCAAGATTCATCTTTTCTCACAGATTATTCTGAATTAATTAATTTTATTTCTAATTTACATTGACATGACAACTGCCTACCTTTATTCCAAATTACATAATATCTTAATTGATGTAGCCATGCAATTAATTAATGCTCTTTCTATGGAAGATTTTCCCTCGGAAAGAGCTTTATTTAATCTCAAATTATTACCTTTTATTCCAGTATTGACTTTGTAATACAAATGCTTTTATTTAATTACATATCTCTTTAGATTTCCCAACTAGAAATTTTAAACAATTAAATAGTATAACATTAACTGAATTAAAACAATAAGTAAGAAATTATTAAATAAGCTTGAATTAATACTTTATTCATAAAATAAAAATAGAAAAAATAATGAGAAATTTTTGTAATGCAAAAAGTATACATATAGAATGAGACATTTTAAATGTGTATTTACTGAGCTCATTTCCTTTGCAAGCCACTAAGTAAGCAAGCCAATAACATAATTCATTTCATGTGAAACAAACTTTGTCATTAAGAAACAAGTATTTTAGATTATGTAAAACTGCTTTTGAAAATTATTCTTATTATGTCTATAAACAAAGATTATAACATGTAGAAATTTGTCATATATATATGACAAATTTCTTTATATATACAGTATAAAGACCATTACAATTGCCAAAATGACTTAAAAAAATATATTAGAAACATCTTATAAATTCCTCATTAAATAATTTCTTCTTATTCTGTATAATTTTTGTATGTGTTAGGCTCAAAGACCAAAATGCTCATTGAACAAAAAAAACAACCACAACGCATTGTGGTCACTTTAAATCATCCACAATGCAAAATTCGCATTGTGGCACTTGTAAAAACAGCCACAACGCATTATGGCTAACTCAAAACTCAAAATATCATGAAAACCATGATGCGAATTATATGACGACCATAAATTTGCATCGTGGCTTTCGTGATATTTGACCATTGTGTGTTGTGGTGACTAAGAAAAGCCATAACGTTTTGAACGTTAGCTGATGCAACCAGGATAGACGGTTGTAAAGTACTATTTTATTTTTCCGACTTTCCAACGATTATCGACACTACTGTGTGCCGGAAATAGCCGTTCCCTAACGGGTACTTTACGCGGATTCGCGTTAGTGTGCCAGGCCTGGACTTTAAGCGTGCATCGAATTAAATAATGACAAAGTTTGTCAATAACAAAATCAAATATTTAATTAAACTTCTAGTAATAAACTATATACAGTATTTAGTAAAAATCAAACAATAATTTATTCAATGAAATTCAACAAGAATCAAACCGACAAACTCAAATCAATCTATTTCTAACTTAATTCTATTCCCCTTTGGAATTCGACAAAATCAAAGAATTAACTTATAAACAATAATTCTTAT